GGGAGAGCTGCATGTGGCCCTCACAAGCTCCATTTTCACTGTGAAAGGGTTGCTGGGGGCCATCGCAGCTGAAGACAGAGCTCGGGAGCCTATTTTCACTGGTAGAGCTCTCGGGCCACCACAGGCACCCCTGCCAAGAGTGACATCAAGCTGGCCATGCCCCCCAAGCATTCTCCAAGGTCAAATAGCACCCTGATGCGGCCCTCAATGAAATCGAGTTGGACACCCCTGGGTTGGAGTGTCTTTGGAGAGTCTCAATCATCCAAGTCATGGTTGCCCCAAAGGTGCTTTTTCAGGAGGCAACTGGACTTTCCTGTTTTTTTCTTTTGAAGATGTTTTGCTTCTCATCCAAGAAGCTTCTTCAGCTCTGACTGGATGGTGAGGAACGGAAGGATTTATATTCCTTGCAGAAGGCTGGTCATTTGCATCCTTTTAGAGGGTCATTGAGGCCACTTGGAGGTTTATCTGCGTCCTCAGAGTCACCTGAGTGGTGCAAATGGTTCCTGTAGTCTGCAATTTTTTCTCCCTTCTGGAAATCCATTCCTACTCCCACCCCATTCAAAGGGACTTCATCCCAAATTGTATAGCTAAAAGTCTGTAGAGATTCTGCGTCATCCAGGTCCTGGTTGTCTCAAAGGTGCTTTTTCAGGAGGCAACTGGACTTTCCTGTTTTTTTCTTTTGAAGTTGTTTTGCTTCTCATCCAAGAAGCTTCTTCGGCTCTGTGGCTGAAGTCCAATTTGCCTTTAGAAAAAGCATCTTTGGGACAGCGGATTGAGGGGTGGGGGCGGAATTTGTGGTAAACACAGTCAGAATATTCATGAACCGGAAGAGACATGGTAACAAGGTCAGCCAATAAATAAGGCTTAGTAACAAGGTCAGCCAATGGGAGCAGAAACAGTTTGGGGTCTGGGTGTGGCTTAGTTCTGAACTGAAACTAAAAGAAACTCATTCTCTATATAGCCTGCCCATGTTTGAACCTGCTTACAATATCTCCTCTCTACCACGTTGGAAAAATCAGCTGTTGGCATTGTACATTTATTCATGTGTTGTTTTAATATATATATAAAGAAGTTAATGAATCCTGCTGAATCAGTTATGTGTGTGTGCTTTCTGGATTTGATTTCTGCTACAAACTCTGACAACAACAAGCACATACACACACACCCAATGGATTTGAACTAATAAAACCACCTACCTGTCTTTTCATTCTTAGTTCTCGCTGGGTACCGATGTACAGCAGGACCTTTAGGCCAGGGCACCAACGTTTGAGCTCTAGTTCCCACTTCAGAATGTTACAACTTCGGACGACAACAAGGTGAGGACCCCAATCCCCTGGAAAGGAAAACCAAGAAGAGAGGCTAAGAATCCATCCCTGGGCTGTATAAATAGAGGCATAGAATCAAGATCATGTGAAAAACTAGTACCACTTTATAAAGCCCTAGTAACACCACATCTGGAATACTGCAACTAATTTTTGGTCACCATATTACAAAAAAAAAAAAAAAAGATTTGTTGAGATTTTGTGAAAAAGTTCAGAGAAGAGCAACTAAGATGATCCAAGGCTTGGAGACTAAACCATATGAAGGATTTGGGTTTGGCTAGTCTAAAGAAAATAAGAGTTACAGGTGACATGATAGCACTATTCCAGTACTTGACGGGCTGCCACAAAGAAGAGGGAGTCAAATTGTTCTCTTATATTCTATTCTCTGCTTCTCCTTCTCCCTTTCTCCTTCCACTCCTTCTCTGTTCTATTCCTATTGTCAGCGTTCCAAATATCATCCAGAATTAAATCGGAGTTCAAGGCATAGTTCCAATTTAATAAGAGAGCCATGTTGGTACATCTGTGGAAAACTCGAATCTGAAAGCTTCCTGGGTTTTTCACCCAGTTGAAAGTTCAAGACCTTGCCCCCACACCCACAAGTCCATCACATGGTCCAATCTTCCTCTGCCACGCTGGCATTTCCACCCATCTAGTTCCGGTCAGCTGCAGAGGTGCAGAGACAAAGAATGGCCTTGGGCTGCTAGAATGTTTTATTTTGACAGCACCACATTCTACAATTCTACTCCTTACTATTCCCCCCTCCTAATTACCCCACTAATGAAACAGCATAGTAAAATAATAGAGAGAGTGTGGCAGACCAAAGATGCTAAAAGGAATATGCCTGCAGGCCTGACACACCCTCCATGGCCACGCCCATCCAGCTAGTCATTAGGGGAGAGAACAGGTTCTTAAATTAT